AGTTTAATACAAAATAATACCTGCATTGACGTAATTGCATGTCTATGTACATTTAAGTTAGACGAAGAGAAAAAATTCTACCTGTTTTGTTCTCAGTTGACATATCAGTTTGAAGACAGTGTTTTGCAAACACAAATCACAGGACAAATATACTGTTTCTCAGTTGAATCGAGATCGACGGTCTTCCGCCGACTGACAACGGCCACTCAATCAATGATACACAACCAATCGTATAAAAGTAAACACAATACAAGTTGGTGTATATTTGGGTGAGGTACGTCCGTTCTACTGCTTTTCAACGAGGCAAAACGTTTGTATTACGCATCATTGATTTCATGGGTTCGTGAGGAGATTTCAAATGATCGTACATTGTCCAGTAATAATACAATGAATCTCTCCTAATTGCATTTATACGTGATGATTGTCATTCGATTGGCAAAAAAAAAATTGTAGAAGAGAGGAGCCTAGCTGTTACTCAAACAGAACTATGCCATATTTCTTAATATTATGTTAAATAATAATGACTGACGTTCGTTTACTCTAGTTCATTCATGCCTCCAAAGAGGATTAAAGTAATTGAGTTTTATCCAGAATTTTATACAATAAATTGTATACAAATGAGGGGCTATTCATTCACACTTCAAGGCTGATTTCAGTATTCTCAGGAAATAAGATCAGTGACTTGAATTGCCGTAAATCGTAAGTCGGTCTCTGAAATTATAGGTCTTCGAGACATTTCGAAAATTGTAATTTTTTTGACAGTACGCGAATGATTTCAAATGATTTTAAAAGATCCAGCAATCAAAAGAATAATCAATCAATAAAAAACAAACGGCTGATATCATACCGCTAATTAAAAACAAATTAAAATAAGTTGCTTTCTGTTGAATTTTCATTTATGTTTTCATGATAAGGAGCGAAAGGCAGACAAGAGCGATGTAAAATCAAAAGTATTTGATTTAAAAAGTATTTGCATCGACTGCTACAATTATGTTGCGATTCAGTCTCAAAGTTGAACGTAAAATTATAACAATACGCGTTGTGGTTACGATTTAAGTACGAAACGGGAAGGAAGACTGAAATCCAGGACAGCCGGAAGTTGAAACTCCTCTGCACAATCCCACAAATTTTAAGCCACAATTTCACACTGAGGTGACCCTCTATTTTGGGATGGAATTAATGACGACCGCCAGAAGTAATTATCGGGCATTAAGCCCTGCGTTCGTAATTACGCGACGCAACTGCGTGGTAGATTATGCCTCTTTCTTCTCTACTGCAAACCTCTTTTTGGTTCTTTTATTTAATTTTCTGTGATGCGATATTTTCATTGAAATGGGCGGCAAGTTTACAAGGTACGCCGAGAAAAACATTATTTTTTCCAATAATTTTGATAGAACTATTACGTCTTTTAATTCCACATTATCCCGCTATGTCATCATTCATTTATTCCAATTATATTGCTGCAGGAAATAATCATATCTATTACGATAACATGCGTAATTATTCACATTAAGGAATTTATTGAACTTCTTTTCGGTAGTAAATGCGAAATTTAGAGGAAATTCATGAGAATATATGCAGCAGAAGATCATCCTCTGAAACAGAATGATTTTTATGAATTAGACGTAATCAGGATCAGCTGGGAGGAATTCGATTGGAGAAATAATAGATAGTGTGTCAATCATCCAACTTATAAATACTTAATTCATCCATTTATGTTACTATAAACATAGAAAATATCTTAAAAATTAAGTATGTAATGCTTTACATTAAAAATATATGATTCATACGTAAAAAATATTATAACTTATGGTCACCTAGTGGCTGCCCAATATTAAACACTCCAATTCTCTTCAATAGTATCGTTGTACAATATTTCTCATCATTGTTTATTGTCGCAACATTTGATATTTTGCAGTGCTAGCTGTCCGCCACAAAAAACCTGAAAAAAAATGTTAGTGGCATAATGGACATTCGGTGTAAAATGGATATCATGAAAATTCAGAGGCTTTTCGTCAATATCTCCGAATCCAGGAGACATAGAAAAATTTTTATAAGAACCTTTTTTGTAGAGCAAAATGAGACTTATAAAAAAGCTAATATCAATATTTCGCTATCTACCATCACCTGAGACATATCCAATGGAAGCTAATTTAATACATAATCTCAACATTATTCCATTATTAATCTGCGAATGAAATTGTGACAGCAATCCACATTCATCTCGTGGAGTTATTGAAAATTGGTGTCCATATGGGTAAAATTGTATTCAAAAAAAGAGAATAAAGTGGATGTACTAGTTTATCGACTGAGTTTTGAGTGCGATTCTCCAACACACAGTGCCACTTCTCAATCGATGAAGGCATGCGCAGTGCCATCTAACCTTGAATCCTCTTTCTATTCTTTTCACTATCATTTCTCGATGTTTTCGTAGTTTTACTCATCACAGCTTGGTGTGAATTTTCCGTGTGATTTCTCAGTATTTGTAAGGAGGAAAAAAAATAAAAACTACGTACTACATTACAAACCTTGGGCGTTGCCACTGACAATTGATCGCTGACAGTATCGGCTGTGCATTCAGTTAAATCTTGTGTGTGACATTGGTGCCACCGTGTCACGTTTGACATTCCGGTAAAACGAAACATATTCTACACTTTGGGGGAATAACATAACTAGTGATTTGAAAAATGAAGGCTCACAACGGTAATTGGTGTATTTTCATTTTATGCCATATCTTATTTGCAATATTATAAAAGATATATCAATATATATCAATAATATAAAAGATAATAGTCTATGAAGTATGTAGCTCTCTGGATTTTCCCAGAATCCAAATCTTATCTGCATTATCCACGTTTACGTCATGAATATTTTTATTAACCGAGAGTACACGAAGTGTTAGCTTTCCTTGCGAACGTAAAGATAAAAAACTTCCGCTGCGCGATAATTACTGTATGGCCTGGAGCAATATTCAATTTCATAGTCTTTACAATAAAAATTCGTCACAACACGAGATAAATTACTTCATAACTTTCTTCAATGTTAAAACAGTTGAAAAAGTTCAATGAATTTTATTTCTCATTAAACTCCATTCATTCTCCATTTACTTCCACTCAAATGATGAAATGAAGACATAAATTAGATAATTAGGAATAAACTCGTAAGCTGAAAATACTCACTGATGGTGGTAAACCTTGTTTACAATCTTTGATGTGATGAATAATTTTTAAATAATCCAAATCGAAAAATTGCACTTTATTGCGGCGCATACACTCTAGCACCTGTGCACCTGTTGCACACTTACCCTAGTTACGTACAACACGCGCAACTGTCTCTCTACCCCTCGTCTTCCACCTACTTTCACCCCATCCCCAGGTTATAGTAATCCTGTGACACATGGGAAATCCCCGCAAACATTAATGCAGAACCGAGCACTCGTTATCACGAACGTAAATCAAAATTCCTCTTTCCTTTATTACTTTATCAAATTGGAGGGTTTTAAATCAGAAAGACTTTCCGTTTTCTATTGAAAGAATATGAAATCGTAAAATTCATTCAGATTAAGGTTTTGGTTTATACGAAGTTTTTTCGGAGTGGATAAAGAAAGAATGCATTATTGGTAATAAGAGCGCTAGGGCATTAGTCCTGTGGTTGTGAACCTTTGTATTCTTATTTAAATATGTTCTATAAATTCTGGTAATGATATATTTCACGCCTAGGACGGAAAAAGGGACTCTGACGAATGCGATTTTATAGTCCGAGCCGGAGACGAGGATTATAACGCGCATGAGTCAGAATTATTTTTTCCGCCATGGCTATGATGCTATTTTATGTCATTGTGGCCGAAAACGCGCTTTTATCCCAGCGAAGCGAGGTCAGAAACGCGTTTTACCGTCCGCAATGAGATAAAATATTTTTAAAGTATATGAGAAATAGGATGCTACATATTAAGTCTTACTGAGATTTACTGATTTTATTATCTTTTCGTGATACTACTAAAGATTTGATTCAAATGGAAAATTGAACAAGTTGGAAAACAGAATTTTCTTCTGGGTATCTCTACGGAGAGAAATATTCAGGACAAAACATGTCATTCAGTTGGGTAATTAGTGACGGAAACCTTTAGAAAATCGGAATAGCTATTACCATGCGTCATATGAAACTCGATAAAAATTATGAGATAGTGTGGTGGGAACCGAAATAGTGGCATTAACAGGATGGTTGGCATTATTCAGGAAAATTCTTGAAAACAATGTATTGTGTATATATGTATTGAAATTGTAATAAATGTATGGGCAATGAATCATGGGAAAAATGGGAAGCAGAATTATCTCGATTATTCATGCACATGCAGATTACTATCTCCGTTGAGGTTTCAGAATAACAGTCTATCAATCGATTAACGAGTATACCAATACAAATATATCGGATTGGGTTCGAAGATCAATAAATTGAACATTGGATTTCGTCACAATACTTCTTAACTGTCGTTTACTATTGATTTAATGAATAATATTGTTCAGATAATTCGGATCCATGGACTCCAAACTCGCAGGCAGCTCAATTGCCTTCTTATTCAGAGGCAGTGGGTGCTAGTGCTCCGTATCCAACAGCCGGGCATTTACCTCCACATCCAACTCAACAGCCACCGTATCCAACAGCAGGACCTCCTCATCATATTCCCTATCCAACGCATCAACCACCGTATCCAACACAAGTGCCACATCCAACACCTCAGATCTACGCCGAACAGTTCACCGATTTTCCACAGCCAGCGACTCAGTATCAAACTCAGTACCAATCGGATACTACTCCAGTAATCCATCATCCAGCGACACACATTCAGACCGTCGTGACATCCTCACCACATAGTAATGCCTGTTTCAGTATAGTATCTGTCTAAATCTATCGATTGATTGGTAATTATTTACTCGAGGCGATTTTTACTGAATTTTTCATGACTTTTCAAAACTTTGGGTAGCATTTCGTAACGCTACGTGGAGAAGAGACTGAAAAACCATGACTGCGTTGAGTACATTAGATGTATTAATTGTTTCATTTTTAGAGGAAAGTTTCAACCAGGGAAATCTCTTTTTTCTCCTCCAGGAGAATAAATTCTTCATAGAGTTTAAGGAACTTTGAGAAACTTTCTGAGATTTAAGTCCAATATTTCTTTTGAGTTGAAGTAAAACGATGAAACATTCATGGTAAATGTTCAAATTACGTGAATACAGTGGATTTTGTGATCAATTTCCCACGTGAGCTGCTGACAATAACTCAAAACTGAATTCTTATCAACAGATATTTCTTATCAGATGATATTATTTGATGATTCTTATCAAATTTACACTTATCGCAGAACTTTGCGTTAATTTTCTGGCAAAATATTTTTAGAATTTTAAACTTCTCAATTCTGTAGACAACACTCGTTTTGTCTTTTAAGTACCTACTAAAACCGTAACTAGATGAATACTTGAGGAGTGAAAAATAATGCATTTAGTTTAAAATAATCTGTAAAAAAACCATAAAATCCCGAGTCACATTTTTTTTCCTCAGAAATTAGGAAAATCAATTACCATTCCCAACTGACATTTAGGTATTCGTTTATCTGTTGCTGAAATATGAGAATTCGTACATAAGTTTATCTGGCTCATTTACCACTGAAACAAGTTAACCAGTTGAGATTCTTCTATTAATTCTTACCAAAGTCGTGATATTTTCGTTTTATTGAATCTTCTGAGCTGTTTCAAACAGAAAAACCAGCAATTCCGTTAACTAAAGAGCTGCGCAGTAAAAAATAACCAATTAATCAAATAATTCCGACATAATATCAATAATCCATAATTTTTCAGGAAATAGAACGACGGCTATAATATTTGCGATAATACTTGCCATAATTGTCATAGTTACAATCATAAGATTGAATTCCTTACTGCGGTGGAAATCACATTCATAGGTGAATGGGATCAATGTAATGTACGTACTATTTTACTGTGCGAAATTCATGGATTTTCCAATTGGACAGTGAACAAACAGCAAATCAAAGCAGATTCTTTAAACTTGTGATTCAAACTTTTCTTACAACAAACAACGCATGATGGTATCCAATGAAAAAATGTGTATGGCTCTTTGTTTTAAGTGAAACTATCATAAGTATTATAATTCAAATGGAAGGATTTCTTAAGGGAGAAGTAAAAAATACATGAAAAAAAAAACCTTTTCCATCAACCCTTCATTTACTTTTTCCGCTGCCTCCCATTCTTCAACGTAAATCGTAAAACTCGAATCTTCAACTCTTTGCTGCTGGGCTTAGCCTGAATACGAAGAAGCTCTAACTCAAGACTTTTTTACCCAAGGGAATAGTGTTTGAAGAAGAAGGGAGAGTGCATTACGGACATTAAAGATGTACCCAGTGTCATCGTTATACATTGCTGCCCGACTGACTATAAGTAAAAGGTGCCATATTTTTTGCTTCCCTCTTTGTCTCTGTCAGTCTCCTTCTTCTTGTAGCTAGAATAACAAAAATGTCATACGTACGTAAACGGGAACTATAGAGTCTAGGGCCGTTGTGAATAAAAGGTAATGATAAGAGTCACTGAATTCAAGGACCAATGTTATGGCCCAGATATCATTCCCTGACATCCCTTTTATACTCTGTTATTGCTACAATAAAAACTAATGGGATGTCTTGCTCATCATCAATTCTCCCTATTGAGTCATAGGTCTATTCATTTTTTTTTCTGTTGACACTTTGCAATTTTTACTCAATGATTTCATCGAATTTGCTTCCGAATGGACGCATTGCAATCGTTCGACTTTAAGTCAGCAATGTTTCATGGCTGGATGACGAACTTTGGGTTTGTGGGTCTTAATATAATTCTTTAATTGAAATAAAAAACAAAATAGGAAAATTCGCTTTCTCGGAAAATTACCGTGTATATGTATGTATACAACAAAGCAGTTTTTAAGAGATTACTCAACAAATAATTGACCAATTCCATTCAAATAAATTCGAGGTGTAAATTTTTTCATGTCGGCTCAGTGTTGGCTCAATGTTGGTCCACGGTTGGTTCAATGTCGGTTCAGTGCAAGTAATTTCCAAATTCGACTGAATATCTCAAAAAATATTCATTTGAATATTGCAAACGAAACTCTTAGAATCTAAAAGTTGTGGGATTGAGATATTTTCCAGTAAGAAAAATTACTCGCACAATTCGCTTGCCCCTAATTCATTTGTCCTTTTTTCTTTTAAATGCACTCTTTTAGTTTTGTATGAAATGAAACGAAATTTATTATCATATCATATGAAACCATCCGCAATATTCCATTTGTTTATTATAATCGAATAGAATTCGATGGACCTTTGACTTTTAACTTCCCAATTCACAGTCTTTGATTCACCGAACAACTCCGTAAGATAAAGGATTGTTGAAAGGCTGTTTCTCAATGTTCGAGAGTTGAAGGCATTTTGTATATTCATTACGAGGATTTTATCATAATTAGATTGGATGGGTAGAGTGAAGGAGGGATAAAATTCAAATTTGTTTCAATGCACTGAATCCATCAGAGGTCTTGATACGATTGAAAGCTTTTTTTTACGAGTCTCCATAGGAACGACAGTGAATGAGAAAAAGCGAGAAAAGAGGAGTAAAGAGGGTGGGTGGTAGAGGAAGAGGTGAAGGGTCGTGGATTCTATAGTAAGCTCACTTGGAACGAGATAAGGCCAGTGGTATTCTAGCTAATCCCCAGTGATGTGACCCCCTTCGAGACTTTTTTTTAGAGAGAAACTCTTTTCACTTCTGCGTCGTGTAAATCTTTCCCGATGAATTTTCAAGAGAACAACGATGGTAATGAAGAATAATTAACATTTGCTATGATCGTTTGATAACTGTAATCGCCAATGCGGGGTACAGTAATAATCACGTTTAATCTTTGTGGTATTTGATTTTTAACACTCCTCACTCGATCTGTTTGATGGATAATTCCCTTTTAATTCAGCCGCAAGATGGAATATCCGAGGTAGCATGGGACTCTGATGAAAAGGAGATATTCTGGTGGATACAGTAGAAGCTTTGTCGTCGTAACGAGCTCGTATCCGATAGTTCGACGAATCTGCCAGTATAGTGTTAGACGCGGAGTCTACCGCAGAGGCACCCTAGGGACTGGCAGGTAATTAAGACAAGATAGTGGATCACGAGGATGTAGCTCCTCGTATCCCTGATAATGCTTTAGGATTGCCAATATATCCCGGTTGAAGCCAATCGTTAGCGACACGTGAAGCGAGTTAGACTAAACTTCTTTCGAGATTACCTCACCTCAACTGAATATCACAAAGCCAGAGTCAAACAATATTCCGATTCTCATCCCATAATCACAAATTAATTAGACGTCTCTTTTTAAATGTACACAATGATGGACGTGAGAGAAAATTTCTCCAGCCATTGATGTTCATGCAATGTGGTGTTCATACGTTTGGTTTTTGAAACTGAAGTTAATTGGTATGAAGTGAAGGTTTCGGGAGCTCCAGATATTTTTCCTGACGTCATTTAAAAGTCATGATTCCAAGTAGTTTAATAAATTGAGTGTAAACATGGTTAAACAATTAGTACATCAATGATTACAATACGACCGACATGTTCTTGTGAATTTCCAAACATTAAAAAATGGGTTTCATAATTTTGAATATTAATGGAATAAGTTCCTGCGTCTTGCAAGGAAACAAATCGATATATTCGTAATAAAGATGAATGAATGCACAAAGACTTCGTAATTTTGAGTCTCTAATATTGAGCAGGTATGAAATTAGCAAAAGTTCAATTTATTTAATCGTGTTCAGCTATGTTGACTGCACTACAGGGAGACGCAGTTCGGCAAGAGAAATTTCCTACGTAATTATTCATTGGAAATTCTCAATTGCCATTAATGGAACCGGCAATAGCTCGGGGGAAAGAAACTCCGTAGTGACTCACCCTCTCTGAGCTCATTATGAGTGGCTAACCAGGTCAGGGAACGACCACTCCTAGTCCCCCCCTAATCATTTTATTCCTTTTTCATTCTCACGTTAACTTTCTCGAAAGCTCATCGAAGTCGGTCCAATTACTCTTGTAGAAGTCAAAGCAAAAAACTACACCACCTAATTAACCGCAATCTTTAATTTTTCTTCCTGTATTATGAAAAAATGGCTGTGATGTAGCTTCAGCATCTCTTATTTGGAATTACATAACATTCCTCATGTATTGTTGCTATTGATAATTATTTGAATCATTCTTCAATCCTTTATTTATCCTCGTCATCAAAAAAACTCAGGATTCATCTATCTCTCGACACACAACTGAATTTATAATGATTTTGAAGTACGGACACTTCATTTTTTGCAAAATGTCTAATTCAGGTTCATCGAACCATTCAGGGTGGTGTTTATTCAAGGGGATGGGTTTTCGTCACCTAATTAACGATCTGGACACTATTTTAGAAGGAAACAGTTTGGGAGATGTGAATATTAATACACCGCTCTCTGCATTATCCCGAGCCCTGAGGACGATGACTTTTGAAGATGACTAACGTGTGTTGTCTTTAGGACCGACAACATCGTCGAATGGATTTTTCTGAATTGAAATTAGTATTTGAATGATTATTATTTTTTGTGGACCTAAATCACACATTTACCGGACTCCATTAAATTATGCACTCTCCTACTAGTGGCTGTATAAAATAAAAAAAAAAAGTATTCAAGAAAAATGCTATCTCGTAACTCTCCCTTGAGTGAATCAGAGAAATGACTATTCCAGCGATTTATTTCGGGGTAGACCTGTAATAAACTGTGAAATGTAAAACCTCTGTAAAATGATTTGGAATACAGCGAAATTCGGTTGTATGAGCAAAGCGTATGAGTACAACGTTTATTTTGACAGGTGTGTTGTTTGAGAGAGACAAATGAAATACCTGAAAGCCGGAAGTAAGTTTGGCCTGATGGGCGTGTATGTGAGTGAGGGATAGGGGAGGTTAAAGTATTCTTCTAGGAAGTAGTAACAAGCGGAGTACAGTGTTTTAAAGCCCAGATGCACTTTAGTGCAGACCGACATGAGGTTTGTGAAACGATTGTATCTGCATGAGGGGCTAAGCCGCTCGTTTCAAACCACTGTACCCCTCTTTCCTCATCTCCTTTCACCCTCTACCCCTAGCCCATTACTCTATGCATTCTAGCCGCCCCTCTTGGCAACTTGGAGTCAGTGGTATACGTTTGTTCGCATTTTGCCGCAGTGGTAAGTCGTACGACATGACGCGATCGAGTCATAAACTACGAGTCGTTGGCAGTCTTGTATACAATACGGAAACAAAACGCAAATACCGGGGAGAGGTATTGGAGATTCAACCCTCCTTTGGCTTTAACTCTTGTTGATATTCCAAACGAGGGCTATAAACTTTCCGCCTAACGTACAACCAAATTGTTATTAGTTTTACATTTTTTCATTTTAATTCAGTATGAACAAATAAAAGGAAAAACTGAAACACTAAACGATTTACGTTTCATCACTCATCAGATCACACTAACTCCGAGATATTAAAACACAAAATTGTCGGGATTCACTCGATATATTTCTGGAAAAGTTTAGATTTGCTGTTACGTTGAAAGTGTTGAATCTCCAGTTGGAAATCTACGGAACAAAAATTTATTTTACATTTTCAACTCTATGTTTATATCGAAGAAAATTTTGAGAGGTGTGAGCTATGGCATTTGTATTTTCTCTTTTGATCCAAATAGAGTTGAATGAATAGTATCTATTGTGGCATCGCCACACGTCGAAGCTGGTACATCCCTTTGTGATTTTGAGTCAGTTTTGCGAAAACAATAAAAAAAGGATGTTTCGAATATCCAAATAATAAAATCTCTCTTTACTTATTCATGGGTTTCGTTATTTCAGTTGTATTTCGGTTATTTCAGAGCAGCCTGATCGCAGTGGCCAGGTCTTCCTGTCCATGGCCATTTGAATGAATAACTCTTAAATAAAATTGGAGAGGTAAATGATAGGGGAGTTATTATCTGCAAATGATTTTCCCGCAATTACCCGAAGGAATACAGAACCGAAGCTTCCAAAATCGGAGATATTGAATCTAGTTCCTCAACAGGGATAACGAGGATTCGCGAGTAGAAGATACAGGATGGAATAACCCTGAGGGGTTCAGGTTGTAATTCGGCAAAGGCGTTCAATCAGCTTACTATTAGCGCATCAGTTAAACACCCGAACATTGTTATGATACGAAGCTTATTCATGAAACATTATCCATTCCCCTCACTAACGTCTCAGAACGGAAAATACGGAATACTGAATTACGGAGGTGAAAATACGGGCTTCATCAGGTGTGCAGTGAATTTACCGATTTTCCTGGAAACTCTGTGCAACTCGAAAGGCTCGTAAAAAAGAAAAAAATACGTACGAAATTACCAGTTGGCTTTAATTAACCAGCCACACCAGCGATTCACATTTACCACTCGGGGTTGGAGGGTGGAAATGCGATTGGCCAATGCCACTGATCCTCGCCAAATACTGTCCAAACGACTCAATTATTCAATCGTCGCATTGCGGTAAAAGTCGACATGC